ACGGAGCCGGCCCCTCTTTTTTTTTTTTTTTTTTTTAAAGATTGATTTTATTTATTTGAAAGACAGAGTTACAGAGAGAGGTAGAGACAGAGAGAGAGGTCTTCTATCCGCTGTTTGACTCCCCAATTGGCCACAACAGCTGGAGCTGTGCCAATCTGAAGCCAGGAGCTTCTTTCAGATCTCCCAAGTAGGTGCAGGGGCCCAGGGACTTGGCCATCTTCTACTGCTTTCCCAGTCCATAGCAGAGAGCTGGATCAGAAGAGGAGCAGCTGGGATTAGAACCAGCACCCACAGGGGATGCCAGCGCTTCAGGCCAGAGCTTTAACCCGCTGTGCCACAGTGCCGGCCCCTCCATTCCACTTTCCTGCAGTTTTGGAAAATCCTTGGATACATGATATCTACATATGTATACATTTGTGTCTATATCCTTGGATATGTGATATCTACATACGTATACATTAGTTCTGCATGCCTACGTATACACTCACATAGATAACTTAGGTGTTGGTGGGACCACTTGAATAGTTTGGCAAGCGTCTCTAGGAACAGGGCGTTCTCTTGGAATCGACAGTTGACGCAATGCCCGTAGGTTGCCAGTGGTGCCAACCTTGTCTTCTGTGGCCACGTTTTTCCCGACTCATAACTGGGGCTCTGGCTTTGAGGTGTCATGCTGATGCTGGCTTGTCCAGTCCCCTCCCTCTCTTCTTCCTTTCCTCCATCCCTCCCTCCCCCTTCCCTCCTTTCTTCCCTTCCTCTCTCCCTCTCCCTCCCTTCCTCCTTTCTTTCTTTCTTTGCTCATTAACTTCTTTCTTTAAAAGGAGTTGTATACAGGGAGCTCACTGCTTCACAGTTAGACTAGAAAAAAACCCAACGAGGAATATGCTGCTGAGCCAACGTATTCCTCCTCCTCCTCCGCTGCCTCCACCGCCTCCTCTTTTTGCTGTGCTCAGCCCAGCCTCGACTCCGCGTTCCGCTCCCCGCTCCGTGTCAGGCTGTCCCTGGGCTCCGACTGTGGCGGCTTCCTTTTCTCACTTCTCCTGCAGTTCAGCGGCTCGGCTCTCTGTGCAGTGTCGCCCGTGGGGAGGCCAGCTTGTTTGCCTTTGATCTGGGGGCCGTTCTGGGAGTGGAGCAAGAGGAAGGCTGGAGGAGGCCTGCATAGGGATCCCGGAACTCTGCTTTGTGTCCCCTGCAGGAGGGCGCTCGCTGGCATCTCTTTCCTGGCGAGCCTGCCTTCGCTCTTTCCTCCATCTCCCACGTCTCTTTAGGAAGCTGAGAAGTTGGCGGAGGCCTGGGAGGGGGCTCTGGGGACCCCCGGGGTGCGTGCAGCCCGTTCCCCCAGGAGGGCTCCCCGACCCACTCAGTCTCTCCTGGGCACAGAGCCCTCCTCTCAGGCTTTCCGGGGTCCCTGGGCCTCTGGAATCCGGGGTGCAGCTGGCCGTTTGTCCGCCCCAGTGGCCTGGGTTACGTGGTGAGGCAGGGGCCGCCTGGCCGCCTGCTGCCTGTTATTGGTGAGGTCAGCTCCCATGGTTTGGCACAGGTGGCACCTGGCAGGCCCCCTAACAGCACAGGAAGCTCTTTGTGATTCATAGGCGCTCTGTCGTCGGCGATCTCACATGCCCTGGTGGTCGCTGCCAGAACCTGCCGCTGCTCCGAGCGCTGCCCAAGCTCCAGCTCTCCACCTGCACGCCACGAGTCGGCCCGCTAAGGAAAAACGGCCCCCTTTCTCCCGTGTTTAAACTTTATTTTATTCACCAGAAAGTCAGAGTTAGCGAGAGAAGGAGACACACACACACACACACACACAGATCCTTCATCTACTGGTTTACTCCCCAAATGGCCACAGCAGCCAGGGCTGGATCGGCCAAAGCCAGGAGTTGGGAGCTTCCTCTGGGTCTCCCACATGGGTGGCAGGAGCCCAAGGACCCAGACTGTCCTCCACTGCTTTCCCAGGCCATTAGCAGGGAGCTGGATTGGTAGTGGAGCAGCCCGCACGCAAACCAGTGTCCATGTGGGATGCGGGCACTGCAGGAGGAGGCTTAACCCGTGCTGCGCAGCTGGCCCCTCCTAGTTCTTTATTTACTTTAAACATACCAGTGTGGACTCATCAACAGACACATATTTAAACGTACTGTGTTGTGCAAGTCATTCGGATGCTGACGCTGCCCTCTGTGACAGTCAGGAACCTGGCTCCCGGGCCTTTTCCTGAGTCACCTCTGTCGCTTTTCGGGCACTTGCTTACCTGGGAGTGGCCCCTGCCCCAGGCCTCGGGGCAGGCTCTCGCCGCTTTTGGCACAGGTTGTCAGAGACCAAGAGCTGTGTGGCCAGGAGTCCCTGCTCCGAGTCCTTCAGGACGCAGCGCTCGGAAGACCCTACTCTTCCAGTAACAGGACTTGATCAGGAAGCCCGCACACCACAGCGCTTTCCTTGTTTGTGTATTCCTTCTTGCGGACGGCTGCACAAGGTGCACACAGACAGACACACACACACACACACACACACACACACACTTGCTCAAGCCTGTTGTATCCCCCGGACCGCGCCCAGGCACACCCTTCCCGAGCAAGTGTCAAGCTGTTTGGTCTCAGCCTGAGATCTGTAGTCCGGGTGCCGGCGCCGCCCCACCCCACTGTGTTTTATTATTCGTTCTCAGCCTTCGGGTTGGGATCAAGTGCGCGCCTGCCTGTTCTCCTCAGCTTCGTTTCATTCATGTGATGTGATGTGAGTGCCCCTCCGATCCTCGCGGCGGTCCTTTCAATCTGTACGATATTGGCATCGTTGCAGAGGGCAGAACCACGCAGAAACGGGCTGGGCTGCTCCCTCCCAGGCCCTTCCTCTTCTTCTCCCCCCTCCCCCTTGTTTATTTTCCTCCCGCCTCTCTCTGCACAAACAAGCAGGTGCACACACGTGTGCTCAGCTCCCTCCCTGGCCTTCGGGGACGCTTCTGCACTTCCTTCTTTCCTTTTCTTTGCGACACAGCCTGGCCCCATCTGTGATCTTCCGGTCAGTTCCCAGCCCTTCCTCCTCCCTGTTCCACACTGGTAGGGGGGCGCTCTCTGGTGCACATGTCGCCGCTTGTCCCACCAGTCCCCTCTGTAACGGCATTTCAGTTGCTGCCAGTGTCTTCCAAACTCCAAATGGTGCTGCAATCTGTTACCAGTGCATCTGCAACTTTGTGTCGATGGAGGGATGCCTTCAGGACAGATCCCTGGGAGTGGGGTTGCCGGGGGAACTTGGGACAGGAGAGCACGTGCTGCAAGCCTTCCACCTTCCAGCTGACGGCTGAGAAATGAGATCTGGTCACTCCTCTCGTCAGCACGTCTCTTCTTTCCAGTGAGGGAGCACATTTTAAAACAGAGCATAGAGGCCTCTTCAAAGAGGTGGCAAGCGTGGGGAGACCTAGCTACAGCAACAGAGGTGCCCTGGGAAAGCTAGGAGTGGGGGCAGCATTCCAGGTTGAGAGAACAGACAGCAAGCACAGGCCCTGAGGCAGAAGCGACCTTGATGGGTGGAAAGAAGAGGGAGGAAGTTGGTGGGCTAAGCACAAGGACAAGCAGAAACGGGACATGGACCAGCCCCGTAGACACTGTCATCTCAAAGGTCAGTATTTTTTTTTTTAACATCAGCTAATAGATACTTGTCCAAATGCCGTCCTTCTTTTGGTCAGCTATGTGGGCATGGACCGTGGGTTGCTTATCCTTTCATCAGCTGATGGGCATCTGGGCGGATGCTGCCGCAAACACTGGGGCACCGCTCTGTGTCCGTTCTCCCGAGTGTTTGCCAGGGCGTGGCACTGCTGGCTCACGCCGGAGTCCTCCCTTCAACTCATGGAGGAATCCCGGAATGAAATCCCTGTACTTCCCACGTGCTGCACAGCTCCGCTCTTTGTAACTTTGCTTGTTTCCCTTCGTGTAGCTATTTGAAGGCCGCCCTCGGCTGGGCAGCAGGCTGGACCCTGCCCTGGCCAAGGCCTGCGGACCTCTGCTGTGGGACGGGAGGATTCCGGGTTTGCTGTGGGCGCACGCACGTTCACTGTAGGACTCTGGCGGGAACATGCTGATCAGGAATGGTTGGCTTAATTTTTTTTAAAGATTTATTTTATTTAGAAAGGAGAGGGAGAGAAGAAAGAAAGAAATCTATCTGTTGGTTCCCAACTATAGCCAGGGCTGGTCTAGGCAGAAGCCAGGAGCCTGGAGCTCCATCCTGGTGTCCCACATGGGTGGCAGAGACCCAAGCACTTGGGCTGCTGCCTTCCCAGGTGCACCAGCAGGGAGCTGGATCAGAAGCGGAGCAGTCAGGACTGGCACCGGCGCCCGCACATGGACTGCCTGCGTTAAACCGCTGTGCCAGCGCCGGCGGCCCCTGCTTGGGCTGTTTTAAGGCAGGAGCTTCATAGCTCCAGAAGTCCCTCCCTAGGGGAGGCTCACCTGGAGGAGGTGAGCCCTCCCTCTTACAGTCTCCGCCCCCTGCACAGTTTCCAGTCCTGGCTGGGAATGGGTGGCCGTGAGGCTCCAACGGGCTGATGCACACAACACAGACCCGACCCATGCGAGTCCTGGCTGTTATCACGCACAACCCCAGTGGCGCCCCTCCACCCAGCCCCCAGTGGACCTGCCAGCACCCAGGCCTGGCCCTGGGCGCCCTCTGCCCCAAGCCTCCCATGACTGCCTAGTGCCCTGTGCCCTGCTCATCCCAGGCTCATGATGGCCTGGGCCATGCCCCGCCCCCTTCTCCGGCCTCCTTTCTCGTGGCTGCCTCCCACCGTGGGCTGCGCAGGGACCAGCCCAACGCCGGCCCTCGAAACCTTTGCAGCGCGGGTCCCTCTGTGGGGCACTCCCTGGGCCTCCCCTCTGCCCCAGGCGGGTCTGGTGAGCTCCCTGCACCCAACCAAGACCCTGCGCAGAAGGGGTGAAGCCCGGAGGAGGGGAAGGCGCCGGCTGGGGCGGGGGTGGGCTGGGCCCCCGCTTCTGATGCCGAGGGCGCCCCCTCTGCTCCCCCTCCAGGCCTCTCCTTGGTGGTGGGCTTGGTTCTCTACATCTCCAGCATCAACGACGAAGTCATGAACAGGCCCAGCAGCTCGGAGCAGTACTTTCACTATCGCTACGGCTGGTCCTTCGCCTTCGCCGCGTCCTCCTTCCTGCTCAAGGAGGTGCTGTGGGTGCCCAGTACCGGGTTTCGAACGGGGACGGGCGCAGAAGGAAGGGGAGGCCCGGGGTTGTGAGGGGGCGCGGCCGAAGGTCTCCCGAGGGAGGACAGGGCGGCGGGACCCGGACGGGCGCCCCCGCGCTGACCAGGCCTCGCCGCAGGGGGCCGGCGTGATGTCCGTGTACCTGTTCACCAAGCGCTACGCGGAGGAGGAGATGTACCGTCCGCACCCGGCCTTCTACCGCCCGCGCCTCAGCGACTGCTCCGACTACTCGGGTCAGTTTCTGCAGCCCGAGGCGTGGCGCCGCGGCCGCAGCCCCTCGGACATCTCCAGCGACGTGTCCATCCAGATGACGCAGAACTACCCTCCGGCCATCAAGTACCCGGACCATCTGCACATCTCCACCTCGCCCTGCTGAGCCCGCGCGCCCCGCCGCCCCCGTCCCCTCCTCGCTGCCTCCACGCCCTCCGCGTGCACGGGGAGGAGGCGGTGCCGTCTGTAGGCCCCACCCCGTCCCCCCTCCCTTATCCCAATGACCCCGCCCCTCGCCGATCACCTCTTTCCATTGGGCCCTTTCACTTCCAAATGACTCCACTCCTTCACTGCCCGCCCCCTTTCCCCTGGGGCCCCGCCTCCCCAGGCAATCCGCTCCTCCCTCGTCCCCGTGCGCCCCGCCAGCCTGGCCGCAGGGCCGGTAAGTGGGCTCCGGCCCCTCTTCTCTCTGCCTGGGCCTCTCTCCTCGCTGGCCCGTCGGGCCCTCCGGAGCAGTGCGGGGCCACAGCCCAGGGAGGCGTGGGGGTGGTCGACCCGCACTTGCCGCCCCCGTCTCTGCTCCGTGGGGGCGGGGGACATCCTTTCGCGCCGGAGGGCTCTTTGCCGCCTCGTGGGGGCTCCGTCTGACGGCTCCGGCTTCCTCCTCGTCCCCCTCCCCTCCCAAGCCCCAGGTGCATCCTGCCTCGCACACCGAACGCCCCGGACCGGGACCCCAGGTGGAGGGAATCCCCCGGCCCTGCCCACACCTGTGCCCGCCTCTCCCCCCTCGAGGCCCCGTCGGGGGAGGGAGGGGCAGTAGCGGGGGTCGACGCCCCCCCAACCTCTGTCTTCCATTTTCTGGCAGTCTCCTCCTTCCCGTCCCAGACCCCCACCTCTGGCCTCTCTCAAGGGCCCGTATGCCCCTTTGGACAGATGCGGGGGTGGGGGAGGTCCCCAGACACCCGCCCGCCCCCTCGTTAGGGGAGGAGGGGCGAGGGAGCACAGTGCTGTACACGGAACCGGGACGGCCCCCGGGGTGGGGGGTGGGGGGCAGGGGCGGGACGGGGGCTTTTAGTTTGCGTCTTAGGTGGGAGGGGGGAGGGGAGCGCGCAGTTAACCCGTCTACGCAGCGATTTTTAACGAGGCTGGGGGGTGGCGCCGGGGAGGGGGAGGGGTGGGGCGGGGGGCCTGGCTCTGTTATTTACCGTGTATCATATGTAAATACGGACAGAAACTTCAATAAACTTTATTTCAAACACGTGTGCGCCTGCCCGGAGGAAGCGGATTGGATGGGGGGAGGAGCTCAGACGGGAGTCTCTGGCCCCCAGGGTTGGGGGGCGCCGCGGAGCGACCTCGATTTGTAGTCCCGGGTCTGTGTGGCTCTTCCCAATCCTGTCCGTTGCCTGCACCGACCTGGAACAATGCAAGCAAAAGCCCAGGCTATTTTGCCCGGTGGGTGAAGCCGCGCTGGGGATGCCCGCAGCCCATGTTCGAATCCCAACTCCTCTGCTTCCCATGCAGCTCCCTGCTACTGTGCCTGGGAGGCAGTGGGTGCCTCCAAGTACTCGGAGTCCCTGCCTCCCATGTGGGAGATGGAGAGGGAGTTCCTGGCTTCTTCCTGGACCCGCCCTGGCTGGTGTGAGTGTTTGGGGAGTGAAGCAGTGGGTGGAAGACTTCTCCCTTTCCCGCCTCCCTCCCCTGTCACTCTGCCTTTCAAATAAATCTTAGGAGTTCTGGGGCCCACGCGTTGGGCTTTCGTAGTACACATTTTCCATAAGACCAGAGAACTCTGAAGAAGACCAGAGGTGGAACTGATGCGCCCAGGATCCCACAGCAGAGATGGGCAGAACCGTGACACTGAGCTCACCAGCTTCCCAAGCTGGCGCTTCACCAGGGCTTGCCTAATCCTTTCTTTTTTAAAAGATTTATTTATTTATTTGAAAGGCATAGTTGCAGAGAGGCAGAGGCAGAGAGAAAGGTCTCCCATCTGCTGGTTCACTCCCCAAATGGCCACAATGGCCAGGGCTGGCCCAGGCTGAAGCCAGGAGCTTCATCCAGGTCTCCCACATGGGTGCAGGGCCCAAGCACTTGGGCCATCTTCTGCTGTTTTCCCAGAAGCATCAACAGGGAGCTGAACTGGAAGTGGAGCAGCCAGGACTCAATCCGGTGCCCACACGAGATGCCGCATCACAGGCACCAGCTTTACCTGCTGCGCCACAGCGCTGGCCCTGGGCTCCTCTAACTCTTGGCTCTGTCTGTCCTGCCATTTGTCACACCCCTACCATGAGCCAGATGCGCTATTTGTGATCTCATCGGACACTCCAGCAGCCCTGCCTGCGGCAGTCATGGCCCAGTTCCCACAGGTGGGGGAAGGAGGCTCCGGAGCCGTTCTGGGACAGGCTGTCTCACCCACTAAGCGGCACTGAGGGTCGCCAGAGAGCCCAGTGGTTTCACAGGCTTGTTCTTGGTGTGCTGTCCTGGCTCTGCCTGGATGTCACCTCTTGAGAGGTAGTCAGCAGCCGTAACAACCGCAGTCATGGCGTCAGACGCTCCTCGCCCCTCCCAGCCAGCCCATTTCATAGATGAAGGAACCGAGGCTCAGGAAGTGAGATCGCCCAGCTGGTAGGATGCACTGGAGAATTCCTGCCCGGGTCCAACCAAGCCAGAGCCACCTCCCCTAACTGCCATGTGTTACTGCTGTAGATTTGCTGCCGACTCATTCTGTGACCTTGAGCAAGCCTTTTAATCTCTAGGGCTTCAGTTTCCTTTCTGTTAAAAAAAAAAAAAAATGAGGGGGATGGTTTGGAAGGATTCCAAATCCCTCTGGGATGGGGAGGGTGGTGGGGGTAGACTGGCAGGAAGGAATTCGTATTCAGCAGGATCAAACTCCCTAAGGGAAACAATCTGAGTCATTTTCGATGATTCCAGGAATTTCTGGAGGTCATGCTTGAGATTTGGGATGGCAAATATTTCGGCTTCTTTGTCAAGACTAATTGATTCGTTGTGGCTTCTGGGAGCACAGTATTAGGAAGATTCTGAACATCTGCTCCCTGGGAAAGAATGTCCCTATCGATTGGTGCTGTCTGCTTTGCTGATCAATTGGTGCTGTCTGCCTGGCCAGCAGCATGTGTGGTGGTGGCGCAAGTGCTGGATATTTGCTGAGTTTGTCCAGAATTTAAACTGCACGTCCCACAAGTTTATGTTCTTTTGAAAACCTCAGCTGGCTTTCTGTGTTGCGCTTCCTGCATTTTGAAAATGGAATGGAATTCTATAGCTAAAGATTAGTTGTTGTAGTTTTTAAGAAAGGCTGTGAAAAGTTGGCACATCCTGGCATTCAGAAATCCATTCCACTCTCCCGAAGAGTTACCGGCTTTAATGTATAATTTGAGGAATACTCTATGCATATTCAATTTTATGCTGATGTTTTTAGATGTGTTTATTTGAAAGGTAGAGTTATATAGAGAGAGGTGGGGAGAGACAATCTTCCATCCACTGGTTCACTCCCCAAATGGTCACAATGGCCAGGGCTGGGCCAGGCCAAAACCAGGAGCCAGGAGCTCCATCAAGGTCTCCCACGTGGGTGCAGGGGCCCAAGGACTTGGGCCATTCTCTTCTGCTTTCCCAGGCCATAGCAGGGAGCTAGATCAGAAGTGGATCAAACTGGCATCTATATGGGATGCTGGCATTGCCGTCGACAACTTAACCTCCTACTCCACATGCTGGCCCCTATGTATATGTGTTGAAATATCGCACTGTACTCTGTAAAAATATATAATTATTACATATTAATCACATTTTTTTAACTTTCAAAATAAGCTTATTGGGGCTGGCATTATGGTGTATTGGGTTAAGCTACTACCTGTGATGGAGAGAGAGAGAGAGAGAAGGAGAGAAGGGGAGAGGGGGAGGGAGGGAAGGAGAGGGAGAGGGAGAGGGAGAGGGAGAGAGAGAGAGAGATCGATCTTCCCAAATGGCTGCAATGGGAGGACTTGGCCGGGAACTCCATCCAGGTTTCCTTCATAGGAATGTGGCAGGGTCCCAAACACTCAGGCCATTAGCAGGAAACCAGATCAGAAGTGGAGCAGCCGGGACTTGAACCAGGGCTCGTGTAGGATGTTGGCATTGCAAGTGGCAGCTTAACCCACTGGCAACAATGCCGGCCCCTCCACAAAGTCTTCAGGTACCCTTTGAACATCTATACAGGTTTGACTTCCAGGAGAAGCCCAGGGTCTCAGCAGCTCGTGCCTTCACTCAACTGTTCCCACTCCTCACAAAGCCTCCAGACTCACCAGGGAGTGTGAAAGGGGAATAATATCCTGGTACTGTGTTAAAAATGATCCTGACCTTGTGCACTGTGTGTGGTCCTGGGCCATGCTTTGGGAATGGCTGATGGAGAGCACAGTCACATTACATTAGGTCCGGGAGGTGCGGTGGCCGATAAACAGGTGGGACTCTGGCCTCCTGTCCTCAGGGGTGCACAGCTGAGCCACCAAGCATGGCAGGCTCAGCAGCAGGCGAGAGTTCAAGACTCGGCAGCTCCGCTTCCAGTCCAGCTCCCTGCAAATAGCCTGGGAAAGCAGCAGAAGATGGCCCAAGTGCTTGGGCCCCTGCACCCTTGTGGGAGACCCAGATGGAGCTCCTGGCTCCTGGCTTTGGTCTGGCCCAACCCCAGCTCTGTGGACATTTGGGGAGTGAACTAGCGGATGGAAGATCTCTCTCTCTCTTTCTCTCTTTCTCTCTTTCTCTCTCTCTGCCTTTCGAATAAGTGAGCAATCAGTCTTTATAAAAAACATATCAGAGCATGAGCCAAGCAGATCAGGCACTCAGTGCTTCCGGTTCCTCTCCTTTGAGTTTGGAGCCTGCCAGGTCCTTGGTATGCAGTGCATCGCGGGGACTGCAGTCACCCCTGTGCTGTGCGGGGCCGGGACTCACTCCTGCCTAACTCTGCTTTGGTGCCCAGTACCCAGCACCCCCAGTCTTCCCAGCCTCCAGGAATCACTATTCTGTGTTCAGAGAGAAATCCTCCATCTGCTGGTTCACTCCCCAGATGCTCGCAAGAGCTAGGGATGGGCCGGATGGAAGCTGACAGCCCAGAACCCATCTGGCTCTCACACACAGGTGCGGGGACTCCATGCCTTGAGCCCTCACTGGCTGCCTCCCAGGGTGTGTGTTAGCAGCAGGCTGAGTCCGGAGTGGAATTAGGGCTCGAACCCAGGCACTGCAGTGATGGTCGATGCCATGGCGGTGACTTAACTGCTGAAGTGCTGAACAGCTGCCCCCAGAGCTTGCCTTTCAGTTCCACGTCCCAGGGGCAGCACAGCAGGTGCAGGGCTTTGCCTTATTATTATTATTATTTTTTTAATTTTTTGACAGGCAGAGTGGACAGTGAGAGAGAGAGACAGAGAGGAAGGTCTTCCTTTGCCGTTGGTTCACCCTCCAATGGCCGCCACGGCCGGCGCACCGCACTGATCTGATGGCAGGAGCCAGGTACTTCTCCTGGTCTCCCATGGGGTGCAGGGCCCAAGCACTTGGGCCATCCTCCACTGCACTCCCTGGCCACAGCAGAGAGCTGGACTGGAAGAGGGGCAACCGGGACAGAATCCGGTGCCCTGACCGGGACTAGAACCCGGTGTGCCGGCGCCACAGGCGGAGGATTAGCCTATTGAGCCACGGCGCCGGCCACCTTATTATTATTAAGATTTATGTATGTATTTGAAAGGCAGAGATACAGGGAGAGAGAGAGAGAGAGCGAGCAAGTGAGCTGTCTTCCATCCTCTGGTTCACTCCCCAAATGCCTGCAGCGGACAGGGCTGGGCTAAGCTGAAGCCAGGAGCCTGGAGCTCCATCCGGATCTCCCACGTGGGTGCTGGGTCCCAAGCACTTGATCCACCTGTCCCAGGTGCATTAGCAGGGCGCGAAGCAGGGCAGCTGTGACTCGAAATGGCATTGCTTGCCTCACTCCTTTTTTTAAAGATTTATTTATTTGAGAGGCAGGTTACAGACAGACAGAGAGACAGACAGAGAGGTCTTCCATCTGCTGGTTCACTCCCCAAATG